ATCTGTGTCTCTGTGTGCATTTTTATTACCGCCTTCAAAATAAAAATCTGGTGAACTCTCAACAATTTGCAGTCCGTGAAGAGATCGTCTATGGTTTTTTTTAACATTACCTTCAGTACTGCTCTCTGGGCTTTTTCTACTTCAATCATGTTTGTTTGAGTTGCCCCGCCCCATACCATTGAACAGTAATATAATAAAGATTGTGTTAGTGTTTTATAAAACACATACTGGGTCTCTCTGTAGCACAATGACGAAGGGCTTTCATTATGATTATAGATTTCCGACCCTAGTGGACAAGCAACTAATTTGTTTTGGGAGCTTAGCTTTCTGTCGATCACCACTCCCAGATACTTTATTTCTTCTGTACTGTCGATGAAGCTACAGTCACAAGGTAGAAGCTGTGATTTGCATATATGTATTATTAAGTCTGTGAAGTGATTTGGTCTTCTGACCTCAGTTTTATGAAAGCCAAGGGGTCTTTGTGTGCGCTTCTACAATAAGGCCCCAAGCAAAATACAACAATTAGATATCATGCAGTTTAAATCTACTATTAAAATAATACTTATTAAAAAAGCTTACTATAAGGTATCCGATTATATAACAGATAAGAATGCTTGGACTTGAGATGATCCAACAACTGGATAGGTGATTACTACTTAACTCATTATATATCAAAAATTATCTTGCTTCCATTATTATTAAATGATTATGTTATCATTATAAGAACTTAGTTTCTTTTTTTTTCTCTCTTTATTTATAATGTATCGATCTGGTAATGACATGGTTTTTGTAAATGTCATTACTCCTATTAGAGCTGGTGAGTTTCTTGCTCGTTCTTCTTATCAGCCAAAAGACGTCCTGAACGAGCGGTAGGGAAAAAAATGTTGGACGATTCAAAAGTACTTTTAAGAAGTCTATTTGAATAAAGATTATTTTGACTTTGACTTTGACCAATAATTTTAATCTTTCTGTAGTTGAGTGTGAGCTAGTTCGCTTCTAACCATTACAAAATTTTCAACATTCATTTTTCAGCGGTTTGTAGAACGTTATCCCAGGATGTGTCACGATATAACAGGATACATTTGATCTTACATTCTGCATAGGGAATTAAAGAGAAGTCAATATTAATCATATGAATATTTTACATGTGACATTTTATGGTTTACTTTAAGCGTTCCAATGGGACTAATTTTATCCAGCCATCACTCTTTCAAAATCTTTTGAATCAGAAAAAAACGCACTCTACAACAATTGTAGCTTTTTACGGAATTGCTACCATGTATCTTGTTTTTATTAAGTTAAAACTATCATTTTAATGTAAATGACCATGAAAGCTGAAAATAACACACTCCATAAGAGTTTCTTGTATAATTCAAAAGCAATTTTTTTCTACATCATTTTACCTACATGATAAAAAAGATACCTATATCCTACATAAAAATACTTAACGATTCGCCAGTCCTAAATGCCATCCGTTTTTTAAGTATCTTTTATAATTCAATAAATGAATAAACTGTAAATTATATTATTTCTGGTGGTGGGAAGGCATCTTTTTCATGCGAGCTCTTGGTTACGAATATATACTTGAGGTCATATTCGTTGTTCTTGATCAATTTTTATTTTGTATAACACACACATCAAGATATATTTCTGTCAAAATTCTAATGATACTTTGTTATTAGCAGATAAGTTTCTCGTCATCTCATTAATCGAGTTACTTGTAATACCCCAAAACGATCAACAGTAGACAGATTGTTCTTGTCTCTGGTCTCGTGTCATGGATTTAACTTTTTTGCATCTTAAAAACACTTTACAGCGGCAGTAAATATTCATTTACTTAATCCTTTTGCAGCTAATCTAATTTAATAGCTAGAAAATTTTGTAATTACGAGGGTGTTACCATGGCTACCATTATTCTTTGGTTAACGCTTCCTATTCAACTGCCCCGAAGCTTATTTTTTTACACAAACTCTTAGTTGCTGAACAAAATATGAGGGAAACATTCAGCAAAATTTTCTTTGTCAACAACAAGATAGCAGTGCACTGCGTAATTCACTCTCGGACAAAAAATTAGGGTGAAATACGCTTGGAGACAGGCATCTCATACAATCAACAACTTGAATCCGATACATTAATTACTACTGCTTATAAGATAACACATTTTACAGCAACAAAATTAATTTCAAGGTTGTACATTCCAACTTAAAAAATTAGGAGACTCTTTTATCAACATGTATACGTATTTTCTTCTATCTGCTTACGCTTTTTTTATTTAGCTGAATCATTAAAAAGCATACCTATGCTTCTAAACACACTCATAGCAGTTTCGTGAAGAGATTGCACGAAGTTAAAAGTAATAGTGACATTTCCCTGAAAAAAAATCTAGTTATAACTAATTTACTTCAGATAAAAATGTAAATCTTGGAGTTTGATCGCAGATTGCGGCGCTTAACCACTATGCCACCGAGTTACTCTGAACTAACTAAACTGTACTTAGTAACAAATCAAAGTACGTACAATTTATATGTAGTATAAAACATTATCCTGCTGTCTCTACGTTGAGATCTTTTTAACTGATTTTAATGCGGTTTCCATAAATTTATAGAATTATTTATATAGGACCACGTGGGCGACTTCGCCCACTGAAGTTAGTTGAATAAATACAGAAGCCTTACCTAAACAAAATAATTGGTAAAAAAACATATAAACATAAAGGAATACTAACGTATTCGTTGATAAAAACACACACAACAGTCTCAAGAACAAAGTACTAATACCGCCTAACTAATTCCGAAAGCTATAATTTATTTAAGTTTGGCCCCTGGTCTAGGTTGTTCCCCTTCTTTATGCAATTGTTATTTTGACGTCGTCGTCAGCTAGTCGCCTTGTTGAAGGAAAAACGACGATCGATGTCAAGCGTTTTGAAACAAAACTACATGTCCATGGATAAAAGTTCAGTGCATAAATATTATAGAAAACAACATTTCAAATCTTATTGCTGTAGTTTATGTGTATTTGTGGTGCTGGTAAGTATATCTTTAGTTCTAATTGGGTAGAATCAAATCTATATTTAATTATACAAACAAGTCTTAGGCCAACAGATGTTTTCATCCAAAACACTTACAATCTCATTTCTTTTATCTCTTTGGCTTCGTGTATATAGGAACCTGTGATAAGTTATTGGTGTCTATACGGTGAAATGAGATAATATTTTTTTACTAGGTATATTTTTTAATATACCCATGCTAGGAACATTCCGTTTAATCTCTTGCCTGCTACGCTTTATTTAATTTAATACCTACAAGTTATTTTCGCATATTCACCACAAAAATAACTATATTCAACAATTCTCACAAAATGAGGTCAACGAATAATTATTAATTATTTATAGAAGCTAGTATCGATAGCAATAAAAATCGATTCTATAGCTTTTTATTTATAACCAAATTGTTTAAATGCTACTACACCCACGTAAATTATAACCTATGTTACCCATGGTGTAACTTCTCGTAGATGAAAGGGTTTTTAAATTGATCCAGTAGTTTCGTTGCCTTAACTATGCAAATAAACAAACAACCAAATATTTCCTCTTTATAGATAATTCTCATGTGTTAAAAAATTATCCTGAAAATCGGTATAACACAAATTCGTCCGATTAATAACAATACATTTCATAAGACAGCGAGAGACATCGCGCTCCATTCCGCTAATAGGTCGAATATCAGATGATTTATTATGACAAGTGTTGTTATGGTCGTCTCTAGATAGCATCGCAGTTGTGCCATTATCGTTATTACAAAATTCATTGGATGTTTAAAAGCAAAGTGAGATGCTAAGTTCTATCCCTCTCTAACCAATAAGGATGAGCCTATTCTATAATCCATTTACAAGAGACAATAACCGATACAATCCAGTAAGCTAAGCCAATGTGGTTTCATTATCATCACCAGCCTTTTAGTGTGCCTACTGCTGGAGCTCAGGATTTATCTATAGATGGAAACGGATCAAATCAAATAGGGAAAATTTACCACTCGGGCCCCGTACGGTGGGCATTGGTGGTTCTTAACAACTGCAGATGCATCCGAGATGAACTGCTTAATGTTTCTTCCAAATCATGGATTAGCGAGATATAATAAATTTTTGGTCACCCAGCCCATGAACAGTCTTTGGGAAAGCAAATGTATCGCAAGCCAGTCCAATAAAATAGAACGATTTCTAAACTGGACTGACTAGCTGGATTGGCTCGAGTACTTGCCTTTATACAGCGATTTTTCAACATCTACGTTACATAAAAAGAGGAACTCGATAGCGCAGAAGTTAGCGCGTTATGTCTGCAATGCGGTAGATAAGCAAATTTCGCAAGAGTCACAGGATGAGTGATCAAAAATTTATTGTCTCGAGCTCCTCCGTGCTACAGAATGCATGTACATTAAAGCCGTTGGTCGTTCTGCATGTTAACACCCACCAAATCGCACTGACCTGCTGCTTTATTAGTGCAACGCAACACTTTCACAAATTATCTTCATAATTTTATTATTCTGTGTTATGTAAATATTCTAAATGTCTCAATTACATTAATCGATACGGCATGTAGATACCATGCAAGCCCAATTAATAAGCCATAAAATCCAATATCATAAACGAGTAGTAAATTAATAAAATTAAGAAATACGAGTTATATATCATTATATGAAACTCGCCTTGTTTAATCATATCAAGTTAGTATTTTCTTCCTGTAGTTATTATATGCCTGTTATTTACCACCACCTGTAATCTATGATAGCTCATAGTATCCACTTGGTGTGTAAAATAAAAGACAAAAAAATAATAGGTCAAAGAAACGCCATAAAGAAATATTTACGTATCGTTACCGTTATCTTTATAATTCATGTATTCTAAACAATACCATTGTATTTGTAATCCCCATAAGCATTGTAGAGAAGATCAGCACGAATAGCATAACAGACGCGAGTAACTAGGGTGAGATATCATATAGGCGCGTCCGAGTGTCATTTTTAATGTAGACAAAAAGTTCTCGAGTTCGACATGCTACGCTTGCTGAGGCCTTCAGTTAATGTATGAAATGCGCTGCCAACGTCTTTTTGTCGTTAAAGAGGACTATCAGAGACTATCGATCCCTATATAGAATATAACAACTATATTCAAACAAGAAGTAAGTCATTGTCTGCATCTTAATGAAGAAGAAACCAATATCTCCTGCTCCTCTCTCATAGTAATATATTACACACTCATATATAATACTCTTATAATAATACAAATAAACAATAAAGTTATCTATAATATAACGTAATGTTTATTTTCCTTTATAAATATTAATTGATTTACAGGAAAATACTTCAGATTTTTTCCTGTAAATCCAATCGCTACATAACTTAGAGGCAATCTGAACGTTTTCATGCAAGTTCTAATATGGGCATATTTTATATGATAATTCTTATTGATTTCATATTTTGTGTATATGCTGTTTCATCTCATGATCGTTTACATGCATTGTCTGATGAATTCATCGATTACATCAATTTCAATCAAAACACGTGGATAGCCGGCCGCAACTTTCATAAGAAGACGCCTTTGAAAAATATTTATGTTCTTATGGGCACTTACAGAGATTATCACAACACTCACAGAGAGTACACACCTCGAAGAAACTACACCTCATTGGGGAAAAGAAGGTATCCTAAGAATTTCGACGCTCGCAATCATTGGCAACATTGTCCAAGTCTAAACGATATAAGAGATCAAGGGTCTTGCGGAAGCTGTTGGGCTGTAGCAGCGGCATCAGCCATGACTGATCGAGGCTGCATTCATTCTAATGGAAAAAAGAATTTCTACTTCTCTTCTCAAGACGTCCTAAGCTGTGTTATGGCTGTGGCGGTGGAATATTAAGAACAGCCTGGAAATATTACAAACGTAATGGTGTTGTATCGGGAGGCAGTTACAGTTTTACACACACAAGGCTTCAAGCCTTACGAAATACCTTCGTGTGAATACGAAATAGCGGGCTTAAAGAAAAATTGTAAGGGAACTGCTAGAACACCAAAATGTTCTCGAAAATGTAATAGGAATTATAAAATTAATTACAATGACGACTAACAACGAGGTGGTATCGTTTATCGTGTGAATAAACGTTATATCAAAAAAGAAATATATCAATTCGGACCAGTCACCAGTTATTTTATCGTCTACGAAGATTTTCTACATTACAAAAACGGAATTTACAATTACACGATGGGTAAATATATTGATCTTCATTCAGTGAAACTTATTGGTTGGGGTGAAGAGGTTGGTATAAAGTTTTGGATTGCATCGAATTCGTGGAACACGAACTGGGGAGACAACGGTTTCTTTAAAATCACTGCTGAAAACCTCGGAGGATGTGTGGAGGATGTATAAATGATAATGTAGTGATTGGATTATAAATTAAACTTCTTTTATATTTAACAACTACACAAATAATCCTCAGTTTGTTACTGTTCAGTTTACACTTGGATTTGGCTTAATACCAGTAGAGGAAAGTAACCGAATTTGCCGAAATAGTATCCCTAATATACTGAAATACCTTATTGAATAATTCCAGATATGGAAAAAATGCAAATTTTCAATAGGTCCAGCAAATCTACGATCATCTTGTGGATTCGTTTTGGCTTATTTCAAAGTTAATTTCTTTCTTCTGTAAAAACTAAAATAATAGATTCAGTATTCCATATGATGGACACTATTTCATATTTACTTTCCTCTATTTGACAGAATATTACTCGATGTGTCGAAACTTCCTTCAAATATGCAACCAACCCTTAATAATTGAATCGGGCTTAAAACAGATTTCGTTTTAATATGTGTACTAAGCATTATCTATCAGATAAACTGCTGACTGTGGAGTGTCATCACGTTTGCCCTATTGACTGCTATTGTGAAATTATCTAGACCAAATAATGATTTTGCATTCGTACCGTTTATTACGAAGACATATACAAATAATGGACAATTATTAAATAATATTGTGTAATATTATTATTAGTTAAATGGTAATTTGTGTCACACAGTACAATTAGTTATTACTTAATATACAATATACATTTCTCTCGGTAATGGAAGAAATTCTGTAGCACATGGTATACTTATTTTTAGTTCTGTCAAATTATGTTTTTCATTCGTTAATAATACTTAGATTAGATAAGAACTATTATATACTAATATATATAATAGAAACACAAGATTATTTATTTTTTCCCAGAGTTGCGATCGCGTAAATAACGAACATTTGTCCAAATCTAGAAACAATATTAAATATTAAAAACTTCTTTAATAATCACTATATATCATTAATTGTATATATCGATGCCTGCATCGCACAAACGTGCAAGTGAAAAAAGTTAACTTTACAGAAAAAAAGCTGTCTTTTTTTTATATCTCGAAACATTTTTGGAAATATCTTATAAAATATGAATATACAATGTTTTGAAAGATAAAAAAAAATAACATTTTGTTAGAACATATGACAATATGAAAAACATTTTACGAAAAGCAGAAATTTTTGAAAATCATATTATTTTTGTATTCTAGTAGAAGTGATGACGTCATGTTCCTACAACAGCACTTAGCACGTTTATTCGTGTAAAAGGAACAGACTTCAATAAAGTGACCTTGTTTATGGTAGTGATTTTTTTGTTTTCAACATAATAACAAAAATATTCAACATTGTTGGCACTTTTAATGTAACACAAATAAAACTTTTTCTCACTTAAATATCAAAACATAATTATTAGGGCAGTAAAGTTCTTTGAGCTATGTGCTCGGCCCATTGCCACTTCAGATTTGCAATTCTTTGGGCTATCGATCACTTTGGTTCAGTTTGCGAATCTCCTCCAATCATAGCCCTCTCCATTACTCTCTTAGTGACTTTGAGCCTATTTATGGGGCTCATAAATAGGTTTAAGGTCACGCAAATCACTTCTCAGTGTCATACGACATCACTGGCAACACACAGTAGCTAAAAACCTTTGCTTAGAGACACTTTGGGCTTTCCTCATTCTCGAAAAGGGCCCTACCTAGATTAAGTATATAAAGTCAAAAAAAAGGCAAAATAATCTTTACTCAAATAGACTTCTTAAAAGTACTTTTGAATCGTCCAACATTTTTTTCCCTACCACTCGTTCAGGACGTCTTTTGGCTGATAAGAAGAACGAGCAAGAAACTCACCAGCTCTTGATTCCATTATTATTAGATGATTATGTTATCATTATAAGACAAAATAAATAGAGAAAAAAAACTATGGTCTTATAATGATAACATAATTATTTAATAATAATGGAATCAAGATAATGAGTTTTGAAGTAATCACTTATCCAGTTGCTGAATCATCTCAAGTCCAATCGTTCTTATCTGTTATATAATTAGATACCTTATAATAAGCTTTTTTAATAAGTATTTTTTCATAGTAGATTTAAACTGCATGATATCTTATTGTTGTATTTTGCTTGGGGCCTTATTATAGAAGCGCACATAAAGACCCTTGAATTAGTTATTAAATTTTTGCAGTCAAGTGACAGGCACCATTAATTTATTTTTATTTCTTGTATTAAAATTGTGTACATCACTTTTTATAGAAAACAAACTAATATTTTTACGAACGTAGATTAAGTTCTCGTATATGTATTGAAAAGCAACAGGCATAATGTCTATTTCCTTAAATTTTTCCCATAAAGAGTCCCTAATCCTAAGATTATAAATTGATCTAATTGCTCTTTCCTGAAGCACACATTATTTTGTATATCGGCAGCATTTACACACAATAGGATTCCATACGACATTACACTATCGAAGTAACTGAAGTATACTAATCTGGCAGTATCTATGTCAGTTAACCTACGTATCTTCATTACGGCATATGCTGCAGAGCTAAGTCTACTCGACAATTTATCAATATGTGGGCCGCACTGTAGTTTAGAATCTAATGTTATTCCTAAAAATACTGTGGTATCCAAAAGGCCCATGTGCTATACATTCCAGGTTTCCAAGTGTTAAGGGATTAGTTATCGAATGTGAATGATATACATGCCGTTGATGTTGATACCGAGTCTGTGCCAGTAGATCGAATTCTAACTATGGAGGTGAACTGACATAGTGTTGTGGCGTTTTCATATAAGCATTTGATCGTTTCAATGTAACAATAGGCAATACGACACCGCTGAAGTGACTGCAACACTACCCGGTTCTCGATAGAAGCAAAAGCTTTTTTCTAGTCTTCAAACGCCAAGCATAGTTGCAGATTTCTTCGTTTCCTGGAGGTCGTCAAATTTATTCACTGACGCTCGTAATGACTTTTGAAAAGTTTTCAAGTTGCTTTTGTCACTTTTTTTTCAATAAGATCCGTACTTGTTTGCTCGTTTATGATTGAATTGAATATCACCTAAAGAATTGTAAGCATAGGCGTTTGCGTAAAATGCCTAAAATGTACTGTATGTATTCTTTTTACACATCACCGCACAGCTGAGATTCAGGAATGTATCAAATAGTTAGGTACATTTTTATAAAACAATACTTTAAATGTATTATGTTCATTTACGAAATGAAATTTATTTATGAAAATGGTGTTTAATACATTACACAAATAACATTAAGTGAATACACCAATGTTGTAGTTTGCAAATTTTGCAAGGATCTTTACACTTTGATTTCTTATATTTTCACGCTATAGTAAAGTTAGTATAGCGTGAAAATATAAGTAAGATACTATTCTATACTTACTATACTCTTTACACTATATGTGGTTTACACTTTCACACGAATAAACGTTCAAGAGCGCATTACAATTTTGAACACGTAAAATATTTGAGTATAAAACTACATAAGTACTCTGTTCTGTTCTAACTAGTAAGCTGGTATTGCGTTATAGTACTATTCGGGCTACGGATTAAATCAATAATTTCCTATAACATACACTTATGTTACTATAATTTTGAAAATATTTCAGTAAAAGATACTAAAGGAGGTGATAGAGAAAGACATTATATATCGAAATATGCAAAAAAAAATTTTTGTGATACAGCTCTTCCACGTTTATACGATGCAGCCGTCGATATGTTGAAAAAAAAATAAACACAATGCTATACAATGTTATATACTTATAAAGTTTAACTTTTAAATGAAAAAAAAACTTAATAATTCTGGACGACCCATACAAATGCTTAACAAATTAAAAAGCTTTTTACTCATTATAACTTTTATCAAAAAATAGAAAATACAATTATTTAAATCGCGCTGACATGTAAACCAAATTGGTGAGTGCTTTGTGCAAACAAACCCAATCGATACCCTAATAATTATTTTCGAAGGGTCTAAAACAAATATTTGTTCATCAAGTAAACCGTCCGCCTATACATAAACTGTGTTTATTTTGTTTAAAGTAGATATTCATTTAACCTTCGACATGAGCGGTTAGCCCCACCGCCGTCTCACCCTATTATGCCAGAACATAAGACCGACCGACGCAATTACACGATAGGATGACGCTACGCGCGAGCACTACAACTCAATGCGGCATTTATATACGAGCTCGGCTCCGCGCAGCTCAGTCGTCATACCGCGATCGCTTTGATTATACGTTTCTTTCATTTGAAGAATTGTAAACAACAACAACAAAAAGCCAACAATGACTTTTCTACGCCCAATTATAATCGGGCTCATATATGTAGTGACAGTGCACACAATAGAACTCCCGCATCCATTATCAGACGAATTCATTGATTTAATCAACACAAAGCAGACTACATGGAGAGCCGGCCGCAACTTTCCAGTGAATACACCGATGAAACACATAAAGAAACTAATGGGGGCGTTAACAGATGAAAATTTGAAGAAGTTACCAGTTGTAACGCATACACAGGAGTTAATTGATAGTCTTCCTGATAATTTTGATCCCAGAGATAAGTGGCCTAATTGTCCTACATTAAATGAAATCAGAGACCAGGGATCTTGCGGAAGCTGTTGGGCGTTCGGTGCTGTCGAAGCGATGACCGATCGTGTCTGCACATATTCTAATGGAACTAAACATTTTCATTTCTCCGCTGAAGATCTACTCAGCTGTTGCCCCATATGCGGCCTTGGCTGCAACGGAGGTATGCCGACACTCGCCTGGGAGTATTGGAAGCATGCTGGTTTAGTATCTGGTGGAAACTACAACTCTAGTCAAGGCTGCAGGCCCTACGAAATACCACCATGTGAACATCACGTGCCCGGAAATAGGATGCCGTGCAATGGTGATATGGCTACTCCTAAATGCAAGAGGACATGTGAAGATGGCTATAACGTCAATTACAAGAAAGACAAGAGGTATGGCAAGCACGTTTTCTCTGTCAAATCTGAGGAAGATCATATCAGAGCGGAACTATTTAAAAATGGTCCAGTGGAAGGGGCGTTCACCGTCTACGCCGATTTGCTAACATACAAAGATGGTGTATACAAACACACACAAGGAGACGCTCTAGGTGGTCACGCTATTAAAATCATCGGTTGGGGTATTGATAATGGTACCAAATATTGGCTGATAGCAAATTCGTGGAACAGCGATTGGGGAAACAACGGCTTCTTTAAAATTCTACGTGGAGAAAACCATTGTGGTATAGAGAGTTCAATTGTCGCTGGTGAACCTTTGCTGGTCGAGGTTTAGATGCACAAACTGTAAATATTTTACTATATAAATAAGCACCTAATTTAAACAATTATTGTGTACAATACATAGTTATTTTTGTTTAAGGACAAAATATACCTAAATATATATTAAAGCAAATAAAGTACGCCACAAACAAATTTTTTGTCATATTATTAGATAGAATGCTTACTTTGCTATTGTGTTTTCATATTTACACAATCAAGAATAAACACAGAGAATGTACGTTTAATCGAAGTATTGTTCATTCGATATGCGATTACATACTTAAAACAACTTCATAAGTAGGTTACCGTAATGTAAGTCAGCCTAAAGAAATAATTCTACTTATTCGGAATACAAACAATAAACAATTGTCTACCTAATAAATTGATCTTAGAATTACATAAAAGACATTTTTTATTTTAAACTGTTTTGTTGTATTGATGTTGCCAAATCTAGGACCTATATTTTTGACGCAGCAACCGAGTACGCTGAAATATTTCATATATCGGTTTTATTTAAATGACAATTCACAATTAAATTATAGAATATTTGATGATCGTTGTGGCTGAGTGTCGCGCACGCCGGTTACAATGTGTAGCTATTTCTAAGGTCTCGTGTTTGATTCCCGGTCGAACCAATGTATAGAATGAACTTTTCTTTATTGTCTCGTATATGTCGTTATTTAGCGTTACCTTCGTTGTTTCAGATTTCAATAATAGTTTGATGAGCAATGTACCTTTATGATGATATCTAATATTTATTTAAATAACGTACTTATGGACCTAAACGACTTATAAGACTTATTACCCGTGTTAAAATCACAGAGCATACGTTTTTGATATACAAGTGTAGGCTACCATGCGCGATTTCTTTTAACAAAAATAGTCTTGAAGTCACTCTAATGTGTTTAGATATTTTTAATATCAATTAAATTAATGTAATACTATCATATTGTACAAATGATAAATCGAGGGCAGTATATCCGCATGCAAAAGAAGAACAAAAGAGTGGGCGTATTATGCCCGATATTGAAACTCTTTAAACGCGATAACACTTCACAATGAACGTAAATAAAAACTCTTTTATTCCAAACTATTTTTAGAACATCAAGACCTCAATCCCACGAATTTTTAAGTATTAATCGCATCTCCAATGGAGTCTCAACTACTTTCATTTCGCTATTGTGGTGTCTATCTGACATTAAATATTACTAGTCTTCATAATTCAACATATTATTTTGTGATCTAATAACAAGAATGAAGTCATAAAGGTAGTTAAAGCTCTATTGAGTTTCCATAATTAATCTAACATGAGCACAATTGCCACATTTCTTGTCCATAACCAAATGTCACTTTTTTCGGATACGCCCATTCCATACCTCACACTCGACCCGAGAGAAGTGACGATTGGTGTACGCAAAGTGTTTCTCGGGTTTATCATGCTTCGTGTGCAGATCACCATACAATATCAAAGTTTAATCGATGTTTGTCTGATTTCAACCAAACTTATTAAGAAATAGAGCCGACTTCAAGCTTTAAAAAGTGATAAATAATACTTATCTCAAACGTGATTTATTCAAGAAAATGCTATTGAAATTTTTTAAATTTTTATTTCAAGCTTTTAGTGTTGTTGATATATTTATATAATACTAGCTTTCGCCAGCGGCTTCGCGTGTACCCTAGGAAAATGTTTAGTTGGATAAAAAGTATCCTATTACCTAAGTCAGCTAATACCCTATCTGTATACCAAATTTCATAGAAATCCGTTCAGTAGTTTCGGCGTGATTGACGGACAAACATCCAAACATCTAAATATCCAAACAAAGAAACTTTCACATTTATAATATTCATAGGATAACCCATGTCCACCGCATATGATATAGCTTCCCGTAAGTGAAAGAATTTTTAAAATCGGTCCAGTTGTTTCGGAGCCTATACGAAGCAAACAAATAATTAATTCTTTCCTCTTTATAATATTAGTATTATAAAATATTTAACATAGTGAAAGTCTTAGAAAAGAAGATTTTGTTATTTACTCGACATATGTTTTCCAATAATTCTATTCTTATATATATATAAAGAAGACGGATTTGATTGCTTGTTTGTTTGCATTAGATAGACTCCGAACCTATTAGACCGCTTTATAAGTCTTTCATATACGGGACACTACACAATACGCGTTGGACATAGGCTATAATTTACGGGGGTAAATTCGCGGGGAAACAGTTAGTTTGATAGAAATTGGTTCACAATTCAAGAAGAAATCATTGACATACCTACTTTCATAAAAATATACATACTCCTTGAACAGAAAAAATCCTCCTTTCGAATTTAAAATGGATTCAAAACACGCATCTTACGATTTTTAGCTGAGATATGTATATGAAATACAATTCATAACATCTAAATATTTATATATGGTGAAAAGCGTATTTTGTTATGTTATAAAAGGAAAACTACTCATTCGATTTCGATAATATTTCCACTTAGGTCCATTGAGCTGTAGAATAAAAAAAAAATTTGAAAGTCTGTCAATAATTTGCAGATATATCATTGACCACACAAAAAAAACTTACCTCGCCGTTGAATAAATAACCTTCTCCTTTTGGATTTTGAAATCGGTTAAAAAGAAGAAAATGGACTTTTCTATAGTGTCTCGGATCTGGGTATTATGATATTATGATATATAAAGAGCACCAAGCAATGCATGTGTTGGTGTCTAATACATATTTACTTTATTTGGCTGTCTGTCTATCATAAACGATTTTCTCTACTAGTCCGATCATATGTATAAAACAAAGTCAGTTCCTGCTGTCTGCACACTGAGATCCTTTAAACAACGCAACTAATTTCGAGTGGGAGTGACTCGAGAGGTTTATATGACCTCAGGGAGTTGGGTATATCAGGTTATTTTCCCATTGCTCTTCACTCTTATTTAAAGGTTTAATTCTTATTTAAAGAAAACATTATTACTGCAATAGTGGTACTTGAAACATTTAACCAAAATCCTACCCTGACTTCTTAAGTTATTGTATAGATACAAATTATTACTTACCAAAAATACCAAAAAAAAATTTAATTCTACGCAATTAAAATATGTTGTTTTTTAATTCTAATATTATAACAACCATTTTAAACCTGTATGTTTCAACTAGTTAAAACAACTTATGAAGTATGATGTTAAAAACCAAGTTATAAATGAAATATTTTCCTTTATAGTTAATTTCAATGTGAATATTTAAAATAGTTAAGCAAATGCTTAGTACTTTTATACGCTAAGAACTGGACTCGATGTTTCTCAGTCGCCATACCACAATTATAACATAATTAGTTATTTCTATACAACAACAAAACGCAATGCAGAAGACTTTACTATATACGATTCTAGTTACACACATTTATGAAATTTTAGGACATACAACTAATCTTCCATATCGATTAACAGACGAATTCATCAACTTACAAACCACATGGATAACAGGCCGTAAATTACACGCAAACACTTAAATGAAATACATTAGACAATTTGAAGAAGTTGCCAGTTGAAACGCATACGCAGGAGTTCATTGATAGTCTTCCTGATAATCCTAGAGAAAAGTGGCCTAATTGTCCTTCTCTAAATGAAATCAGAGACCAAGGATCTTGCGGAAGCGGGTGGGCGTTCGGTGCTATCGAAGTAATGGCCGATCGTGTGTGTATTCATTCTAATGGCACGGAACATTTTCACTTCTCTGATGAAGATGTAATGAGTTGTTTTTCAGACTGTGGCTACGGAAAACAAATAAACCGATTTTGATGAAATATCTGTTATACCAATTCGAAAGTACATATATTTATATATTATTGTCAAATATATATGTATATTCATTAAAATCAGCTAATAAACCAGAAGTTATAGCCGGACATATGTAATCATAAAAACATTATAAACAGATTAATAGAGAAAATTTAACTTTTAGTTTTTTCAAGTCCCTTAAGGAATATTCTTATATAAAAAATAGTTATTGCAATTAAAATTTAATGGTCTTTTATTTATTTAAAGACACAACTACAGAATACAAATTATAATTTTAGATTCTATAATATTCTATTCTCTGTTCTATTCTAAAATAAAAAGACAGCATATATCAAATTAAAAAGTTCAAATTTCAAATATTCCAATTTAAACATTTTATTAATTTAAAAAATAATAATACTTTATTGTCTTATAGACAGTGACAACGTTAGGAATACTATCTCAATAACAATGCAACCAATTAAGTAAAGCAACATGATAATGATAAAAACAATTGTAAATAATTACATGCAATTCATAGTAAACATTTGATAATAATTTCATTTCCATAATATGTATATGATTTTAATAAAAACATTGATTGAAATATGGGTACTAACATTTTAATAAAGTTACGATTTTGTTATGTAAACAAATAAAATACAAAATCCAATATTATAATGATATTTCACTAGCATAATTTTAAGATACAATATTTTTTTAAGTAGTATAACTCTGAAGTACCAGAGAAGAGAAAGTAGTCCAGTTCTCTGTCCCTATTAATTATATTATTATTACGTCTCATACAGATTATAGGATCATTATAAGCGACCCTATTAGACAGTATGGCCGGTGAAACAGTTATTGTGTGCGTTTACTTCCAATTCCTAAAGACTCAATAATCATCATGAATGGGCCGGCTCGACCGGAGTGATACCACGGCCTCACAGAAAACCGACGTGAAGCAACGAGTGCGTTGTGTTTCGTCGTGTGAGTGAGGGTACCGGAGGCCCAACCTCTCCCTATTCCCTTCCCTCTACCCCTTAACCCTTCCCTCCCTATGATCATATTCGTCTCTCAAAGGCCGGCAGCGCGCTTGTAGCCCCTCTGGTGTTGCAGGTGTCCATGGGCGACGGTAATCACTTACATCAGGTGATCCGTCTGCTCGTCTGCCCCCTATCCCATAAAAATAAAAATGCATCCTAATTATAATCACTATCTTATACATTGCGGTAAGAGGAAAGATCACCAATGACCCACCTTGATTGCAAAATCAAGAGATTATAATGCTCATATGAAGGCATCTCATGTCAAATTTATAACTTATCAAAATGGTAGAATAGGGACCACACTGAACAATATTCTAATACACTT